TCCGAACCAGATGCCGAAGTTTCAGCACCAACCGATATTTTATTCAAAAAGTTATATTTCTGAAAATTTCGTAGGGAATATGGCGGCCGACGGAGTTGTCGAATACATGGAGCTTAATGGCTCCAAAAACCGAGAACGGGCAAAAAGGGGCTTCATTTTCCCATCGAAATTTCTAGGAAATCGCTTATAACTTTCGAATAAAATATCGGATGGTGCTGAAACTTTGGAATCTGGTTTCGACCTCTAGCACTACCTTTGGGCGGGGAATGAGTGTGCGGAGATAAGTAATTTATTTTTAGCGGTGTAAGAAGAAAAAACAAAAAAAAGCTTGCACATTTTGGGGGGGGGGGGGGGGGGGGGGGGGGGACACCCTGTGTATTGGATAGACGGATTGAGGGAAACCTATTACTAGTGTTCCGAGAGCATTACGGAAAAGTATACATGCAAAAACGTTTAAGAAAGCAAAAAAAAAAAAAAGACACACAAGTTGGTTACCTGAGCAGCGTCCTGGTACATTCTGAATACCGGGATCAGCTCAGGATATGACGCGCTGGCGCTGGAGCATGGAGGAGCCGAAAAAGCACTGACGGCGAACAGACTGATGAACATTGCTGCCATGATGTAGGTCTTCCACATAGGCTGCTTGTCCTATAAGTGGCACACGTAGTAGAGCTTAGTTATATAATAAGGCTTATAATAAGGCTTTATTGCATCGCCAGGAAATAGTGAAGAGCCGACCAGATCCCCCTTTTTTTTTTTCGATGGAGTGTTTTTTTCACAATATGTTATGAAGTGTGGCCAGGTTACGTTATCGTGAGAGGCGACAGAATGAAGGTTCGACATTTTGAGTCGAACGCTTCAAAACACCCTGCAGTTAACGATTGCACACGCAGATTGCAACTTCGGGAGTTCAAAAGCCAAAAACAGAACCATCCGTATTCATTATCATCGAAAATGAATGCTTCAGCTGTCCTTTTACTATAGTTGAAAGATCTCCAGTTTTCACTGGTATAAGCTTGAACTTATACTTTTATTTAGTTTTACTTTAAAGTGTGGCCAGTTAAAGTTTACTTGGAAGGCGGCAGAGTGGGAGTTCGAACATTTCGAATCGAACGCCTCAAAGCATTCCGTAGTTAACAACGGAAATGTTCCCGATAAAAAACAGCGCGAAAAACACAAGAGGAGAGAATCACACACAGGATAGCGCCTTGTCCTGCGTGTAATTCTCTCTTCTGTGTCCTTGTGTTCTTCGCGCGGTTTTTCATAATGAACGTATTAGCGGCGAGATGTTTTGGTGGCGCCCTCCTATGGTTCCCCCTTGTGAGGTCATTACCTTGCGAACAACAAGTTCGATGGTGTTTGTAAATAGCATGGTGGAAGCCTGAAATCATTGCGCTCTCAAAGCAACACTGCCAACACCGTCGAAATTAAAGTTCTTTCATTCCTCTTATTTCCGTCGATGGTATACCCTTTCCGACGTCATAGTCAGCTTTTGGGCCAATCGTGGAAGGCCGAAGCGACGCTTTCGGTCGCGCACGTCGCCAATACCAACCAGCGCAACTGTTAATTCTAGTAACAACGGCGACCCATGGTGTCAGTGGCCCTCAGGTTGTAACTTTGCAGGTTCAAGAACCAAACGAAACCGTCCGTATTTATTAACCTCGGAAATGAATGCTCCAACTGTCCTTTTCCCACAGTTGAAGGACCTACAGTTTCCAGTGGCGTAGGTCTGTAGCTCTCAAGTTTTGGCCCCTCGCTACCAAAATCGAAAATTTTGAGGTCGCGCTTCGGTTGCGTGTTTTTACGCTCCCTCTCGTTGCTGAAAGACGCTATAAAAAGAAACGTGGAAAAAACAACTGAAAGGAATGCAGTTTTGTGAATTCCGACAGGATGCTGTGGCCAGCTTCGCATTTTTTTGTTTATTATATTTAGTTTTCTTTTACGCGCATGAAAATGCGCTGAAAGACGTAGCACTCGAACGCGACTCGTGCATGATCGAACGCTAAAACACCGCCTTTATGGTCGCGTCTTGTGGACGCACTCACGCCCCTGGCCGAGTGCAACAGGCCTATAACATCTAGAAACGTGACAGCGCCAATCTGTCCGGCCGTGGTAAAACCGCCGTCGCATCAAATACGCAGGGTGTTCCTTGTACGTGGCACGTTCTTTGGCTAGGTGTTCGGCATTTCGGGAAGCCCAGACAAAAGTGAAGCCTGGATAAAAGCGTGGCCGCGAGGCTCAACACTGAATGGCTGACGGGGGAGAGAGAGGAGGAGTGAGGTGCTCGACACTGATTGGTTAACTGGGAGGTCATGTGACCAGAGGGATAGGCGAGGAGGAGCTCGACCACCTGTGCGCACTGAGGGAGTGGAGCTCGAGAGAATGGAAGGCTAGATCCCCGGGTTTATTAGCCCGATTAGCGGTAGTACCGCTTCATTCTAGGAACAACTATCAAGTGTACACATGGTACGCGTTAAACTACCTTGATAAAGAGCGGCGTGAACCTAGGCGTCTGGAAACTCATGCTTGAACGTTTCACGTATGCAACACAATTGCCTAGCAATTTGCGACACATTTTTTGCTTTCGTTTTATAAGTATATTGAAATTATTTTCCGAACTTAATACCTGCGATGGTTAATAACTGCGTTCGATTTACTTGCACCTCCTGCACCAGCGCAGAAAAGTGTAGGGCAGTGTACTACCGGTGCGTGTAGTCAACGGTACTAGACCAAGTAAGTTAGGAAACTGCCATAGAACCTGCTTTGAAAAAGTGGCTTCGATCCGTACTCGAGAACCGAACTAATAGCGATGGCAGCGCCCCCATTTCTCCAGTAGCGGCCACTCCGGGAACTGCACGCCTGCCCGTATCGGTTCAGGTCGAGTCGCGCAATGGCCGGTGGCGTCTCGCCGTGCCATTTTGTAGTAGTAATAACAATGAACGTTCATGTTTTGTCTAGTCGCCAAAGGTTAGCGCTGTTATCGTATTTAGTTTGGTCTTGGTGGACGCGAGCGGTCCGGGTCTGAAGGGTGTATTTCCCAACTGAGTGTTTTAGTAACGTTGCCTGGTGTATTGAGATACTACCGGTAGCACACCGCCCTACACTTTTCTGCACCGGTGCAGGAGGTTCAGCTAGATCGATCGCAGCAAGTGTTAAAGAGCGTGGCGAACCCCGAGCCTCTTATTCTCGCAGCCAATGAGGTGGCGCGGCATTCGCCAATAAAAACATCAAGGAGCGTTAACATAATTAGTCCTTTCTTTATTAACACCCTAAGCTTAACTCGGTAACCTATAAGGTTACCGGAGTTACCTATACAATAAAGGTTACAACGGCAGTCGGTTTAATGTTTAAATTATTGTCGTCAACACTGTTACAGGACACAAATTGAAATCCACAAAGACGATCTATTTGGGCAGAAACTGGGAAGAGGACGAAAGCGCGCCTGGACGTCAGAACACCGAGCTCTGGTTGGAAGAATTCGTGGGGAGACATACTGAGAGTCCACGCGCGCTCTCGTCTCATCCTCTCTTGTGGAGACAAATATGCAGCTCTGCCTTCTCTGCACTTCTCAACGCGTTAGAACGCTGAACGCCAGCGTCTGGCATTTGGCTTTCGCATTCCAGCGAGTTCGACGAATGCAGTGGAGACAAGCTTCACGTCTACCCCCTAATCCTTCCAACCAGAGCTCGGCATTCTGACGGCCCCTCTCGTCTCTCCCCGAGTTTCTGCCCGCCGTCAGAACCCCACGGTGCGTGAACGCGGCACCGATGCCCAACGTCTTCGACGTGATTGTACCGCGGTTTAACGCGGGACTGGTCACCCCCCCCCCCCCCCTCTTCTCATTTTTTCCTGTAAGTCGGTACTTTTTCCCCTTTTTTATTGTTACAGTTTAGTTGTCAAGCTTTGATCTACTCGTGTTTAGAATCCGTGCACTGCTATCGTATACTTTCTCTGTTTTCTTACTTTTTCGTCTCTTTATATGCGAGCTTCTTATGTGCAGCTTTTTTTACGTTTGTTTCTTATTGCTTCGACGAATGTACTTGTATGTTATGTTCCAGGTGGAGGGTGGAGGAACTTGGTCTTTTCCAAAAGTTAAGCCGTTCTTTTGCATTGTTTCCACAAATGCACTTCTTAGTTATATTCCAGAATGAGGGTACTGTGAGTCGAACCGTTTTCGGAGTTCAGCCGTTCCCTTGTGCCAATACGCAAGAGGGAAGGTTCCTGATTACAAGGCTACTGGACATCTAGTAGCCGCCGAGGTAACGCAAGTGATGTTTAGACCATTATTTTTTTCCATTCTATTACTTTGTGGATATATCCATCTGGCCTTTCTGTCTATCGTAACACTTTTGTAATCATTAGCTCAAGTCCACCCGTGTTTAAAATTCGCGCACTCTTTGTATATTTTTTCGTATCTTTTTTCCCTATCTACGTGTGAGCTTTCAATGTGCAGCTTTCTTACATTTTTACAGCGGAGCTGTTAAGGGCTAGCTTCCCCATGATCGTGTCCAACAGCAAAGAAATATCAACACAACACTCTAGACAGCTACCGCCATCTATAAGCAACGGCGGTAACAAGACAACCGGATTACCGGTTGTCTGCTTGCCGCCGTCGCTCATAGATGGCGGTAGCTGCCCGAAGTGCTGTGTTTGCCGATTGTCTGGTTGCCGCCGTCGTTCATAGATGGCCGGCAACCTTTCCAGCCTTTCCACTCTGGCTTGCCGACTTGCGGCTGGCCATTACTTCATTCCCACCATAGTACATCTTCGCTGGTCTTCCTTCTTCACCGGAATGGAAAGGCCAAAAGTTGTTTTCATTATTGTTTACACAAATACTTCCATGCTTCGGAAGGTAGAAGCCTCCTCTTCCACCGTGATCTGGTGTGCCACAAAGTTGAAGCGATCGGAATGAGAGAGTAGGGGAGTGTCGACCGAGTTCCAATTCCCACTACCTAAAAGTACCCACGAAGAAAGCCATGGACGATGCGGCGTGTGCCATATCACAAATAAATCGTGCAAGTTTTATTGTGGCCACTGTATATCCAGACGACCGTGCAGGAGGTATAACGACCGTATGCCGTTGGCTAAAGCATCGGTGGCGAAAGGAGAACAGCGGTCAGTGCAGGTCAACGAAGCGGTACCTCGCTGGCTTGTCTGGTGCATTGGCCAACTTGCCCTGAACACCGATGTCCTCGTAGTGGTACTCGATTCTGTATTTCAACAACAGCTGTAGAAAACAAAAAAAAGTATGGAGGAGTGGTAAATTAATGTGTTACAGAGTACATGCTGAAACATTCAATAACGACGAATACGACTTTACAAGACTCCCGCTGAACAAAAAAAAGGAGAGATAAAAAAAATGACTAAAAGGAATTCGATCGAGATGTTATGAACAAATCACTACGTTCAAGTTGAAAAATGTATGTGTCCGAGACATACCGGAAAAAAAGGCGCCCCTTTGCCGTACTAGTGTGGCAAAGGCAGTGGTACACAGAATATGATGTGTTAAAGCCTGTTCCCACATACAGCGGAGCGCTAAGTTAGCGCTACGTGAGCGCTCCAAAGAGCGCTCATGTGGCACTTCCTAGCGCGTGACTTATTTCTAATATAGCGCGTGGCTTTTGTAGCGCCTTGTTAGCGCTTCAGTAGCGTCTTGTTAGCGCTTCTTGTACGGCGGTTATTGCTGCGGATTAGCGCGTGCACTGCGGTTCCGGTTCATGTGGTTGCGTGTGCATCAACAGTACCATGGAGGACATGTGGGCCGCTCAAAATAGAAATGCGACAAATGCTCTTACATACGCAATTAGTGCATATGTGTGTGGACGACTTAACGCCCAGAAGAGCCTTCTCGGTGCGCGAAATCTTTCGCCACGAGATACCGATGGGTACCCGGCGAACCTTGTTCATAGGCTGAGGGACCGAGACACACAGAACACTTACGAAGGTGATTATTTTTTAACTGCGTGTCTTTGAAACCAGGGTCACGCATATCGAATAGAAAGCGATGAGGTCGCTCCGCATCCATGACTCTGGATCGTCTGCCCGACCCTTTGCTTGGAGGGCGGCTGTTTTACTTCCTCTTCTTTCAATACCAAAGGAAAAACAACAACGGAATCGCCGTGCACGTGCTCTTCCGCAGCAGCAAGCACGGCACAAGAAGCTTGAGAGCGCTTACACTGCGCTGCTGAAGCGCTAACCGAGTGCGCCATACTGAAGCGCTACTGAAGCGCTAACGAGCGTCTACTGGAGCGCCTATAGTGGAGCGCTAACCGAGCGCTACGTCACGCGCAAGTCTGTGCCCACAGTGAGTGCTGCTTCCAGCGCTCAGTAATAATAATTGGGGTTGTGGGGATATTTATACAGCGTGTAGTTGGTCAGCCATTTAAAGTTGCGACGAGTCACACGCTGTAGATGAGCAATTTAGCCAGTGCAGTACAACCGCTAGCCTGGGGTCTTTAACGTGCACCACGCAGTAGTGATACACGACCGCACGCCGGTCGTGTAGTTAGCGCTCATGAAGCGCTAACTGAGCGTTCCGCTGTATGTGTGAACCGGCCCTTAAGTGTGGAGAAACTGTGTACCCATGACGAGAGTGGATGGCTCGAAGCTGCCCTGTGTCGTGCAAGGTAAGCGCGTGAGCGCACCGTGGATGTCTTTCTTGTGGGTGTCATCTTCTGCGGTTGCAGTGTAAATGCGACTTTCTCAGAGCCTGTTGGAGTGTGAAGGCCCCTACGTATACAGTTGCGTTTGATAGCGTTTGAGTACGTTTGACTGCGTTGCGTCGAGAAACCAAAGCTAGTCACCGGCGCATCTGTGCTGCGTATGAAGCGTGGAACCCAATTCAAGGAAACATCTTAGCAAGCGACATTAGAAGCAAGGATGTCCTGGTTTCTCGCAACCACAACTGAGTAAAACGCACCGCTCTCAAACGAAATTGGGCCTTCAGGCGCAGAAGACAGAGCGCCAGCTCGCGGCAAAAGAGAACTAAACATTCAACGCGCTGCGGCAAAGTAGTCTCAACACTTTTTGTTTTGTTTTGTTTTCTTCCGATTTCTTTGCACTCTTTCTCTGGAAAGCCTGGAGCGCGCTCGTTTCTGGAGTACACCGCTGTGTGCCTGAACACGTGATGTTTTACTCCAGGAAGAGGTTCGGCCGAGGGGTGTCGCGAACCGGTCGAGGTTCGAGTTCGACCAGGTTCGACTTTTTCGAACTTCTTGTGAAAAGTTCGACAAAAGTCCGACTCAGGTTCGACTGCTATGTGCATGCGCGACAGGCTGGCTAGTCGGCTTCGGATTGGATGGTGATGGCTAAGGGATGAATTAAGGGATGAATTAAGGGCAGCATTGATTGGTTATTTCAGTTAATACAGTACAAAAAAAATAAGTTATTATCTTCTTCAGTGATTAGAATTAGTTCCTTTTAATTGCAACTGTTCATAAAATTAAAATAACCCTTTGCATGAAAAAAAAAAAAAAAACTCCAAATCTAAACATGCTTGTATCATGGTCTGGCCACACTGTCCACAAAGTCGAATTGGTTAAAGCAGTCGAACCCCGAAAGTTCCGACCTAAAAATCTGGTTCGACAAAAGTTCGCGACACCTCTAGTTCGGCTGGCACATGGTGTCCAATCAGTGAAGACACGAGCGCTTCGTCAGTGTTCGGCTGGCAGTCGGTCTGTTGACTTCCGTTGCCGGCACATCACCCGATATGGTTAGGTGCCAGCCATAATATTTTGCGTTAGAACACGAAAGAAGAATATTTTCTCAAATGACGGAACATAACCATATACCGCTGGTGACACAACAAAGACCCGGAATAAATAAATAAAAAAAAACTAGCTTTTTTCCGGAATCATGTATTGGGTGCGGCGATCGTCAGTGTACTAATGAACACGAATAATTTAAAATGGCATGGCAACCATGTGACTTTGTTTTTTCCTGACGCTGTTCCGTAACGTGATGCTCGTCTCATGAACGCTACCAGACACTGCGCATTAAAGGGTTCAGCCGCCGTATGCGCACCGAACCAACCGCACGGTTCGGAGCTTTCAGAAACGCGGCTGGTTGAAAGCGTCGGGGCTCCCTGGGGCGCGCACCCTGGCACCTAGACGGCCTGCGCGATACGTCATCACGGGTGGATCTCTGCAGCACCGCTCGCGTCAGCATCGCCACGGCGCACCTCGTATTATTTCACGAGGAGCGTAACTCTAACAGGCGGCGATGCCAAGGCGGACATCGTCTCAGCGTGTATTGGGGGCGGGATCCACTAACGATGGCGTCACGCGCAGGCCTTGACTTCTCGGCGGTACTCAGTGTGCTCACCTTGACGAGCATGATCCAGACCTCGAGCTCGGCCATCCGCCTGCCGAGGCACATGCGGGGCCCGAAGCTGAAAGGAAGGGAGGCGAACGGGTGCAGGACCCAGTCCTGGCGGCCTTCGTCGTCCCGCTTGAGCCAGCGCTCCGGCAGAAACTGGTCGGCGCGGGTGAAGTTCTCCTCCAGCCGGCTGGCCACGTAGTTCTCGGTGAACAGCGGCGTCTGCGCGAGACCATTGCGTCGCCATCGTCCGACGTCGTACGACCCGATGGATCGGTCGGTTGCAAGGACGGGGGCCACCGAATGTTCAGAGAATCCCGTCGTAATCGAGGGCTTTCGAAATGCCCGCTCAGACACTTGTGACTTTTTAGGACCGTGTACCATCTCTTACGACGAGGTAACGATGCCAAGTATCGGCTAGCCGCGGGACACTTGGCGGTCCCGTATATTTCCTTGAACATGATTGTAAACCTGAGACTGGGGTAGAGAAGAGAACCCAACAGAAGGTAATAAAAGAGGAGGCAACGTCTCAAACTCAGCTGCAAAGTTTATTTCGAACACGCTTTATATACCCCATCTCCAACGTTGTCTCTACAAAAAAAAAAAAAAAAAAATACACACATGACAATAGGACAATGACACTTGGGTAAACCTTCTCTTGTCCTCTTGTCATGTGTGTATTTTTTTTTTTTTTTTTTGTAGATACGGCGTTGGAGATGGGGTGTATAAAGCGTGTTCGAAATAAACTTTGCAGCTGAGTTTGAGACGTTGCCTCCTCTTTTTCTACCTTCTGTTGTGTTCTCTTTTCTGCCCCAGTCTCAGGTTTACAATCATGTTCAACTTACACCAGCTCGCCTGCACTCTGACTATTTTTTCGTATATTTCCTATTCTTTCTTTCTTGGCTCGAAAAACTTTGGCAAATGTTTGACCGAATACCGCAAAAAAACTTCGCTCTAGCGGAGGAATTGCGAAGCTGCCCGCTCTATTTCAGTCTCATTTAAACTATTGCCATCTCGTGTGGGCGGCTACAACGACAAAAATTAATCTTCTAAATGCACAACTACTGAACAAAAAAAAAAAGTACGCTATATTGCGGATGTTTCGTATACAGACCACTAAGAACCTTTTTTACAAAATTTAAATTACTTCCTGTTGCGAGCATGAATGTACGAATACCGTTTACTCTGTGCGACTCGGTTTTCATCAGAGGCATTTGTAGATTTTTTGTTACATTATTTCATGACTCAAAATGAACAAAAGCAATGTTAACACGACGTACAGAAACATATGTGCTTCCTCAATCTCGCACAACCATGCTTATTAAACAAGTATATCACAAACAACATAAACATATACACGTTAAACAAAAAAGACCTCCGGTTGTACAGTCTGTAGCTTCGCGTAGTGGGATTTTAAATTGCATGTTTTTGCTGTGAATTTTTTTTTTTCATATATATATATAACATATGTTTTTCAGCGTCAAAGCTGCTGCTAATGTAAAGGGATCCCAGACCCAGTCAAGTTGTTTTTCTAACAACTTTTTGTGTGGCGATCCCTCCAGTTTTCTGGAAATAAAGATTTGCTTTCATTTGAGCTCTTGTCGTAAAAAAAACATTTTGGACTTAAAACGAACAAAACCTAACTTATCTCGTCGCTGCTGTTATTGAAGGTCAATAAGCAATGTGCGGCGGGACTTCGTTAAAATCTAGACGTAAAACTATTAGGTCACGTGTCTAGTGGTCAAAAATGTGCAACATGGTGGCGGCCAATCGGGGGGTTACATTTAGCTGCCAGTTTATCGCTCTAAGCCCCTCCACCTCGTTGCTTTTAGCCTTTGATATGCTCACATTCAAGTTAAAACCAAGTATAGGTAGGGAGTCTGCTAGCTTCTTGGAATGACCCAGTCGGCGTACCGTAAACGCACAAGTATAAAAAAAAAAAAAAAAAAAAAAAAAAAGAAGTAGAAAGAGTTTGAGCGAAAGAGGAAGAGAGAAAAGATGTCGCTATTCAGGGACCCTAGGGCTTACCACTCGAACAGGACCGGGCAACACGGGCCTGCACAAATCGCCATCTATTCAGAGCTCCCGCCTAAACGTTTGACATGCGTTTTTTGTTTTTTTTTTTGTTTTATGGCCGACATTGACCAATCGGACAACTCGATCCTCCAGATGAGTCCTAACGCAACGTTATTATCAGACAGAATGGCCATCGAAACAAAGGAACCCGCTGTCTCCCCCTACGCGTGCGCCGGCGCCATCAACATGCGGACGAAAAGGGAAGAACTCACCCCCGCAGGCACGAGATATCCGGACAAGGTGACGTCGTGGTCGAGTTTTCGGAACACGCCGGAAAGTGTTGGGTTGAGGCTGCAAGGCACAAAGACGCCATCAGGGAGAGGACAGGTTCCGTATTTCAGCGCCTGCTTGCACGCATCCTCGGGGAAAATAGGTACCCCTTGGAAGCCGGGACAACTGTGCCATCCTTTGAGGTACGAAGCTGGCACTTGACATTCCGTTTCTCGCGTGGATGGGCAGCGTACCCGCACGTGGTCGAGTAACCGCGTGATGCGCCCTAAAGAACCCGGACTATATATACAGCCCAGGATCACAGAATACCGTATTTTCTAGAAAATACGGCATTTTGTGAATTGCAAGCGTGAAATCAGTCTCGCCAAATTTTATGCGAGGACTGAATTTTTGCAGTATAAACGATCCCAATGCCCAAACTACATGTATTGCTTCCAAAGGGTAATGTATTTGAGATCTACGTGGCATTTTTCGTTTTAACGGGGACTGTGTTACATTTAATTACGCGCTCCATGTGCGCGGTTGTTGGCCGTGTTTCCCCTCCCCCGGCACTGGTAGACGCTGACTCAGGTGGAGCCTTTACTCGGACGTCCCAATAGCGAAATAGAAGACTCCTTTCACTGTATGCAATCTTGTACACGTTACTCGAAAAAAATACTGGATTACAATTACTCTTAGATAAAAAGGATCCATTTAGATTACTTGATTACAAAAATAACTCACCATTACTTGAGAAACTAACCGTTACTTTTCAGATTACTTGAACATTTTCGAACGGCAGACCTTTCTGCCGGTTTGCGAACGGGTAGTTCGTCCATTATTCAATTAGAATCAATGAACTTGATCCACCGATCTTCCTAGACTAGCCTCCTGTCAAAACCTAATGATAAAGTTGGAGCCTTTAGACGTTTTGTGGGAGCCGTGGGACAACGCTGTTTGGTTTGTGAGCTAGTTTTTGATGCGCCATGGCGTCGACCCGCGCCATTCCCAGATCCCTCTCAGGGGGGCTGGGCGCCTCACCGCAACGCCTCCTTGACGCAGGCCTTGAGGAAGGGCAGGTGGCTCAGGTGCTCGGGCTCCAGAGTTCGGGGCTTGTTCCCGACCACGTCGAAGACTTCCTGCCGGGCTCGCTCCTGGGCCTCGGGGTTCCGCGCCAGGTGGTACAGGCAGAACGTGGCCGTGGCCGACGTCTGCGAGGCGTAGCCCGCCAGGTTATGCCTTTTAAAGCGTCAAATGCCCCCCTTACGGGTTATAACACTCCTGCCAGAAATGCGTCCGGCCCCATGGCACAGCCGGTTTGGAGCGGCAATACAAAGTACTTGCTTCGAATTAATGCAATATATACTCATCAAACCTAGGATTTCTCGGTCAGCAGCCCAATGCTCTATGGATCTGCGCCATCTGCTTTCATATGCTCACCGGATAAGGTGTATGTTTCATGTCTCCTAGAAGTTTCAACTGGCGATACTCCCCGTAGTTCACGGTGGTGATGTAGAGGATGATGTTGGAAATGAAGAAGCGATATGTGGCCTTCGTCACTCCCCGACCGTGTAATGTCTTCTAAACAATTAAAAAAAAAATTCCTTCTCAAATATTGCATTGCGAGCAGCACTTTTCAAGATAAGGGTCGCTGTCAATTCTTTTATGCACTGTCTTCGGAGCGACTACTCTCCGAGGGAAAATTATGAAATCGTTTTTTCATTCTATTTTTTTGCGTTTTTTTTTTTTTTCGCTGATAGGTTTAACCTCCTGGAAGCACGCAGTGTCAATACTCGGCGTCCTTTGCGCTAAGCAGCTAAATCTCGAAAAAGTTCTTCCTCGCAGAAACGTTGGATGGGACTCTGGGGATTCTTTTAGGCTGTGTCAAGTTCGCTCTACCACCTGGAACTATAGACCTTTTTCGTGTACTCCCGTCCCCAGCCACCAAATAGGCGTATCCGGTATGGGCGACAAAAAAATGATAAAATGTTTTAACAGCTGTTACAAGTAAAAAAATAGAGGGGAGCCAAAACGAGAATGTGTGGCGGTTACGCTTATATCCTAAATGTCTTAAGTTGGCGTGGCGACGGCAAAACAATTTTTTCGCCCATACTGGAAGTGACGACATTTCAAGATGGCGGCGCCCTTGCGGAAAAGGTTTATACCTTTGTGGTTTTGTTTGGATTTTCCTTCCGGCTGTCGATCGGCACCGGAGAAGCTAAAACTTTCTTGGGATGCATGGGCTTCCGCTCTGCTACCAGAAAGGGAAGGGGGGGGGGGGGGGGGGAGTTCTTTTTTCCTTTTTTTTTGTATCGTGCATTTTCGATTGTTTCCGGCAATTACCTGACGTGCAACAGAACTCAAATAAACCGAAGCTAGCAACGCGAGGGACATGACTCTTCTAGACCCGACTAATAAGCTTGGCAGCGCTGCGATTTGTTTGCCTTCGAGTCTTTTTCCGCGTCTCTGCGTTGCTTAATTTGCAGCCTATGTGTCTTATGCTCATTATTCGAAGCTGTAGACGGCACTTGAAAACGAGGATCGAGGCAATCGAATGAGCAATTTATGCCAGTCGTCGACTATGCATTTTATACTGTAGCGCAGCACAGAGAAAGACAAAAATTACAATTACCTCAATTGATAAAACAAAAAATTGGTGCATTTATTTATTTATTATATTCAACTTTAATCTTCTGCATAATTTTGCAGCTTTATTGCTTGATCAATCTAGGCGCGTGTAATGGATTCACAAATAATTTTTTGGCACATTATTAGCATTTTCTAATGTGCTTGTGTCACACTGTATGGTATGCACGTATAATAAGCCGCGTTCAAAAACTGTTTGCAATTCATATAATAACCCATGTTAAAAAAAAAAGAAAATAAATCACGAAGTGCTTAAAAAGCAGGCTCGAGGTACACCTAAGCACTTATGAGTTGTGAATGCGAAAGCATGAATGTCGTTCTTGAGCGCGTCCTCGTAAAGTGACCGCGCTGTGCTGACATCGGCCGTGCCGCCGCTCTCTGCAGAGCGGACTCCTTTTCCGCGCGCTGGCAGCCTGCCCAAGCGCGCCAGCCGACTCCTTCTACCGTTGCGCTGGCGGCGCTAACGCGGCGCGGGCACGCAGCGCCATGGGGTGGCCCACTCTGAAACTGACACGCAGCGGCCAATGGGAGCCTCGTTCCTTGACACTATGACGCACGCCAGCCAATGGGACCGAAGCCAAAATCCATCAGAATTCGGCTTCACTGCGCTCCATTGGGAGCGGGGAAATTAGGTGCCGTTTGGCTAGGCTTTTCGTGCGGCTTCATAGCTGGGAGCCATCAGATTGCGGCCTCACTTAGTGAAAGGAGTTTAGGTGCCGCTTGGCGCGGCTTCAAAGCTGATGACATCTGCTCGCTCTATGGGGCAGTTAATGCTTTTGCATTAAAATCTGGACTTCACGGAATCAGGGGGAACGTTACGGAGATGGTACGCCACAGTCGACGGTGACGTCACGTTCCGCGCCCACTTGTGTTCAGTCTTGTACACGTTACTAAAAAAAAGTAATCGATTACAATTACTATTACTCTTGGCTAAAAAGTATTCGATTAGACTACTTGATTACTCGACGGCAAAAGTAATTGGACATTACTTAAAGGAGTAATCGTTACTTTTCCGATTACTTTATTGTGTGAAGACACATCTTTAGCGCTCATAACAATGAACTACTTCCAACCTATATTTCACATTTGCACAAGTATTGAATAAGAAAAACTGGCACCCTCTTCGTGGTCGTTGCACCTTCACAATGCGGACACAAGCATAGAATTCGTTTGAAGACGTCTAATGATTTGGGCGTTCGCCAGTGTGTGTGTGTGTGTGTGCGTGGGTTGGGGGGGGGGGAAGCGGAGGGGGTTCTAGATCTTGTTAAGCTTGGGCAAGGGTTGTCGCTCAAAGTTTGCATCGCTCATTTTATTATTCACGTGCGGATGAGCTCGCATGTTATACAAAAGAGCAGCAGCTCCAGGATTTGAAACGGATAATACGTAGTATCCATTAGCGGAAGAGATCGCCCCAACCACTTCTCAACTCAAAATCTTGCTTGTCACAAAGACCACGTAGGGGAAATGGGGAAATATTTCAACTGGCTTTGTTATATTTTGCATCCGCTTAAAGGCATTCTTCGATTCTGGTTCTCCTACGGGCTGCGAGTAGGTACCCTAAGCAGGATTTTTTTTTATTTATTTTTTTATTTCTGTGTGTGTGTGCGTGAGGGGGCTAGTTTGAACGAAGGACTTACAAAGCTACATTCTGCTTCCTCAATTTTCGCCCTGAATGGCCTTTGTCACGCACTGTGGCTTCCCTGGCCCAGTCCCAGCTCGAAAAAAGAAAAAAATGGACATTCCACAGAAACTGTACATAGAAAGAGATTGACGTCGTTTCCTACAGCTCCGCAAAAATCTTTCATTTTTCCGTTCGGAAAAAAAAAAAAAGCAAATTTTATTGTTGTCATTTCATAAAAAAAAGAAGGCGTGTGCCGGGGGGGGGGGGGGGGGGGGGGGGGGCGGGGGTCCCGTGGACGAATTGTAACGGTTACAAGTAAATTTATTACTTCAAAAAGTAATCAGATTACTCTTGTGATTACTGCCTAATAAAAGTAATCAACTGATTACAAAATTACTCCAAAAAGTAATCGATTACAAGTAATTTGATTACTTGTAATGCGTACGGTACAAGTCTGCTTGTGTTCAGTCAATCGCTCGCCGGAAGTGCATACATTTAAGTTCCTAGACAAAAGGCACACTGCGTAAACAGCAGAAGATTTTTAGAATAGCGTAAAGACCCTTGCACTAGCACTGTGTACGCCGCACGCAAGCTCTCATCGGAACGCTGCGGAGCGCACCAAACCAGCACTTTAAATTCAGTAAAACGCAAACGCGCATGCATGGATGGATGAATGGTGCTGAACTTTTCTAACCGGGCGTTGGCTTGCTCCACCTAAAGTCCCTTCATAAACGCTTTGCTAACTAGCGACGGCGATGGATGTGTCGACGAGGTCTCGCATTGGTCCGTGCCCGCGTTCCGTTTCCGGTTAGGAAGAACACGGCAAATTTGACTGGACCCACGTTCGAGAAACGGTTTGGTACCTTGGCGTTCAAAAACCTACCTGCGTCCAGCGTTTCTCTATCTAGATTGTCACGTGACATGACCCGCCGGGGTAACTCGCAAGATTTCGTACACAGCCCTGCTGGGTGAGTTAGGAAGAACATGGCGGACCGCGCGCAAGCAGACGAGAGGAGCGAGGGGAGGAGGGCGGGGGAGAGGGACTTGTCACCAATTCGCATAGCGTTATCGTAGAGACGTTAGCTCCTCCTAGCAAAGCTTAAAAATGTACGCCCAAGCCTTTTAACAGTATACTTATGGTGGCTTGAAGGGGAAGTGTGACGGGCGCCTTACGCGTGCAGTGAGAGACAGGGTCGCGAGTAGCGATAAAAAGGGGGAAAGCAGCAGGAAAGGAGGACACTATGCTTACGGTCAACCCTTTCGTCAGCTCCTCGTAGCTCATATTGCAAGGGTATTGCAAATACGCCTTATAAATCACGTGACCCCTATCGAGCAGTTGAAAAATCTCTGTAATATGGGCTCTTTTAAAATTTTGGGGACCGCTGACTCGCTTACTGGGCGCAGCGCCCCTAGCGGTCCCCAAAACTTTCATCGCGGAATTTTAGGCGCACGGCCTGTTTAATTGGTGAAACGTGCGCAATTTATGTAGTCGACAAAGGAAATGTAGTCTCACAAGGCAACGTATGCGCGCCATGTAAGAGAGGGGCGCAAGTTGCGATGAAAATCTTCGTCACCGCCAGGGGGCACTGCAGTTCGCAGGGGAGCCGTTTTCATCGCAAATCTGTGCCGACCTTCGCTCCTGCCCGTCACAGTCCCCCGGTTCCCCTTCCAGCCAGCATCATATACTTCTACATTCAGAGTTAAGGTCTGACAAAGAAGCAAGCGCGCGTTTGCAGCGTCATCTAGCTGTCTTCGTGCAAAGTGCCCTCGTCGCGCGTGGACAGCGCGACAAGAGCAACGAGAAGGGTGCACGCGGAGTGTGCGCGTAGCTCGCTGCGTTGCGTGCGTATGAGGCATGCGCAGTGTGGAGCACGCAACGCTAACGCAGACGCACAATGCTTGCGTTTGCTCCTACATGCATTACTAAAACTCCCTAGTATCGAAGGTTCTAAAGGATACCAGAACACAGAGCTGTACTCGGAACACATCTCCGGAAAACTAATCCGAAATTGCGCGAAATGTTAAACATGGTTCCGCGCTATTTCAAGATACGCCGATGGTGTTCGCTGACCATAAATCGCAATTACGGTTTTGTAAAAGGGGGGTAGTGATTTCAGTAGGTTAAATATCTACGGGTGGCTCCTTTAAAAGAAGAATGTGGAACTATTTGACCATGTTCGCACGTGCGCAAAACCGGTTAGTCTTCCCCATACGAGGTGTGATAAAAAAAGTTTCGGGACTGACTCTGTAGCGCTAGAACAGAGGCCAGCACAGTGATGCACGCGCTTTTGTCGAGGGAAGGTACCTTCGTGTGTCATTGTGACCAAACAGTGTCACTCTGGACAACGTGCACGAGCACAATGGCGATTCAATCATGCACTGCAAGCCAAAGCGAGAATGAACATCAATTCTGCGTCAAACTCGGCAAACATGAAACAGAGCACTTTGAAGTGATTCAGCAGGCTTGTGTTAAACATTAGTGAATTTTGCGAAGTGTTTTAAGTGGCAGTCGCACTTCAGGAAAGGAGAACATCGCTGGAAGACGAAGACCTGTGGTGCGACCTTATCCGAACTCTTCTTCAGTGACGTTCTGCCATTCTTGAGGCGCGAGTGCCACCCAAAACACCTCGCACACCTCACTACCTTTTGACATAAGCCTTCTAAATCATCTGAGAGGTCTCTGACTTAGATTGGCAGAGTTTGACGTAAAATTGATGTTCGCTCTCGCTTTAGTTTGCAGACTATGGAGAGATCATCATTATGCTCGAGCACGCGGTCAAACAAACTCGCGCAGCGCAGTTCCCAATGTTCAAAGAGAGACGTCCTTTGGCATAATGACGCAAGAATTTCCCTGCCTTCGACGGCTGCGCGGGGATCACTTTGCTGCATTTTCGTTTTACGCTACAAAATCAGCCCCGGAAATTTCTGATCACACCTCGTATATGTTTGACCTTATATTGGACAATTTTCGCGCTCGAAGAGCGCGCTCCATGTTGTCACTGCCATGTCACTGCGCAAAGTCGTGAGGCGCACATTTCTACCTAGGATTTGCTTCGTTATAACAAAAAAACAACAGCCATACCTTTTCTTCTTCTTTTCTTTGTTCACGTGTGCAGTTTTGCCGTCCTTCACGGGAATTTGGGCTCGGTCGCACGCCACGGTGGAAGACGGTTGTCTGAACAGAGCCGCCTCGCCTTGGAACTAGTGTGTCGAAGGTTCGCTCGCATTTCTGGCAAACGCCGTGAGATGCACCACATGGCCAAGGGCTCGAGGAACCGTCAGTATTTGCGCGCACGTGTTCGAGGCTGCGCAGCGTGCGACCGCGCCGACGCGAGGGCTCTAAACCGACTGTTGCCCTGCCGTGAAATGAGCGAAGCCCAAGGGATATTTCTGCCCCCTTTCCGGTTTTGTTCCGACCCCTCTCTCCTCTTCCACCGTGGTCACAGCACTGCCGCTCCTTCTATGCACATGTGCCAGCCGCCCACTGAGTGGTCGCATATCAGTCGCGTACCGTGTCGGCTCCTCCGAGGATGAAGTCGCTCATGAAGGCCAGGATCTCGCCGAACTCGAGCTTCTTCTCGGCCAGGAGGTACTCGAGGATCGTGTACTCCCGGTCCTCCGTCCGGGTCTTGAGTCGCTCGGCGGCGGCCTCGATGTGCTTGAACAGGCGGCTGCGGGACCGCACGGCGGACGTCCAGGTGAAATAAATGACAACCGCAAGCGGACCAATACCATCTGCGCTTTTCTGTCCCAAAGGTGATCGTTAATGGATCCACGCAGCGGCTCGCGTCAGCGTCGCCACCAGTGTAGCGTCTTCCAACGAGTGTGACGCTAGCACGCTACGGCGTCAAGACGCACGCGTTTGTCGCTTTGCTCTCGTGGATCTTCAGCGTCTTTGCCTGCCGCATGTGGCGGGTCCGAAATTCCCTAAGAATGACCTAATCCGCAGCCCTTGTCTTCTACTGAGCGGACAATTGTGCCTTGGAGTCATCCGGGTGGTACTTAGCAGCAGGTCATGCCCGATCAACGTGCTTCACTCACTATTTGACGGAGTCAAAAAAAAGCAGCCAGTCACTTTTTTTTATTGTTTCTAAGTAACCTCTACATTCCAACCTTGCCTTCAACCATATCCGTGCTGTATTTTCATCGTGGTTAAGTCGTGCCAAATGAATGAACTGGGAGAGGCCCTCCAAAAGGTATAGAGACAGTGTAGCCGCTCTCATATTTTAGTGCACCAGCTCTATCCTGTTTTTAATAAGAATTGCTCCCTGCAAAGTCGAAAACTAGTAAAATTATTGAATCAACGAGATTCGAATTGAAAAGACAAACATTTTTTATATGCTTTCTACGATGAATAGAAATTGATTATATATCAGTTGCATATGAGTTCTAATGCCATCTTATGAGTTCTTGTGTGTTTACTAGGCTCATTCATATAATTGTTCTCACTAAGGATTGGGATGACCATTTTTCCTCTTGCTACGGTATTTCTACGCCCTATCAGCCTTTTTAGAGTTACATCAACCTCCAGTTTACTTTATCTAGGATAGCAACGGGAAAACGCTTCCCGTTGCTGTTCCTGAAACCTGAGTATGACAAGCCAGTAACATACTCACTTTCTTCTCGGGCGAGGAACAGTAAATGCACACTCTTTTGTGCGGTGCCTGAAACGCGCGTCCGACTAGTGTATTTACCGCGTCCTAAAAAGAGGCCCCATCAATTCAGCCTAATGACGTCTTACAAGTGCTATGCTGTCGCCGACCGCGATCCTAGCGGCAGAGGGTTTAAAACGGGAGCAGAACGCTGCAAATCCTAAACGCTGAGATCGGAGGTCACGAGGAAAAAAAAATACAAAAAGCGACAGAGGAGCAGAAAAAGAAAGCAGACGAAAGGTTAGGCGTGTTCGTTTTGCCGCTACGAGTTGAAGTTGCTCGAGTGCTTGTCAACTTAATTTTTTTTCAATTCTCGATTCCCGTGTGTAACCTAGAACTAGGTACATACCTTACAGGCAGTGTTGCTTATTTCTGCATTTTAAGGCGCCGCCAGTGATATAGGCCCATCGGGACTAGCTAGTACCATCTGGAATCACAGATGTCCGCGTCTATGCCCAGCCGTTATCAAGCGACCCGAATACGTGATACCTTTACCTCTAGAATATTATATTAACTATATGCCCTACCAGTGTCACAACAGCGGTGGTGAATGTGGCGGAAGTCTGGTCTGCTGCAGGTCGCCCTCCAGATTGACAGTCAACAGAAGCTTTGGCAGCCAAGAGTTGGGACGACAGAGACACTTGCGTTCTCCCGCATTTTTTTTTTTTTTTTTTTCTGAAATTCTACGCCCAGCTGCCAGGATCGCGACATCCGTCAGCATGAGGCTCCAGCTTTTGTGACATCACGTGTTGCCACTCTTTCGATGCATGGCCGGCATAGGACGCTAAACACACACGTCCGAGACGCGTCCCAGACGCCATATTCTTTTGTAACGTGTCTGCTAAGGAGCCAGGGCAGCGGGCTTTATGTGCGGACGCTTACATGGTGAAGTCGTCCATGGCGAACTCGAACCTCTTCCAGCTGGGGGTCCTGAAGTAGCGGAAGTAGGGGAAGCGGTAGCCGAAGATCTGCAGGCAGGCGAACACGTCGTCCATGTCTTTCAGGATCATGGCCCCGTCCGAGTGCGGGTCCAGGGGTACGCTGAGGCAGCCCACGCGGGTGTCCAGGGAAGCGTACACCACGCCTGAACGGCAGCGCCCAGACAGACACACGTTACACAGTTCCTTCCCAGGGGTGTTCTGGAAAGTATTTCTTGGCAAATGAGAGCAGCCAACTCCTAAATAATTACTGAAATTTTAAGAGCACCCGTGATAATGTCCAAAACTTGAAAAATTGTTAAAAGCTCGGTTGGCGAGTGGTCGCGAGTCTAACGTATCAAATTAGAAAGCAGGAAATTGAAAAGGACGAACAAAGACGCTGCGTCCCTCATGAGGCACGGTGTCTACGCTTGTGATAATTTTTGCTATCGCTGTTCTTTTGAACTAACAGGTGCACACGCAGTGTTCCTGTTGAGAACTGAGTCTGTGTTTGTCTCTCTTTGGTGCCGGCATCTGTGGTTGTCTTTTTTGGCACCACAATCTCTACACATACTACACAAGCGCAGAGTCACACTTCGCACGTTTCTATTCTTATCGTGCCACAGCCCCTAGACGAGCAGACAATGTGTCCAAGCGTTACAGCAAACTTGTAAATAGCCTTATTTTTTTATTGATTTCTTGCTTTCTTTTTTTATTTAGGTGTACTAGGCCAACTGGTTCGGGCGCCCTGCCTTTCTGGCACAGCTCAACCCTCCTGGGTCAAAATAAGGATTAGTATTATTATTAAAGGAAGTATTTTAAGGATCCAATAGCTCCTGTGTTTGAGGTCAAGTAAGGGCGGTAGCGCGGCATGGTCGAGCAAACGGAATCTTGAATCTACAAAGTTCTAGGCATGCGAAATCGGCACGACTGCTGCGGACAAACGCGGTAGTTTACAGACAACGAGTCGGCGTGGATTCCAAACGGGTTGGGCGGAGACGGGTCGCGGCTGGCGGAACTAGGCGGAGCAGTTGCGTGGTCAGGGGAGGCACTCACTCTCTAGGGCCCACTTGTAGAGCAGTTTGTAGCAGTCCGCTGTCTCTCCCCTGGCGTCCCTGTCTCGGGCGAGGACTCGCAGGGTGTCCTCGGCGATCTTGTCCATGCCCGGCACGTACGACATGATGGTCCGGGGACGGAGCGTGTACGGCTGCGTCTTGGAGCGCACGTTGTACCACTCCTGGCCCTGCCTGCACGAGGCAGCCAGCGGACTGCGCGTCACTCCGATGCAGAGCTGTAGTTGTTAACGTAAACGATAATTAAGATATATAATGTTGTTTGAACTGGAGTGCAATCAGTTACCTTCCCACATATGCATTAAGTTACAGACACAGTTCCTCGCGAGAAGTTGCTAAGATAAACACCAATAATTATTTTAACGATCCCATGTCTTCGAGGTACACCGTCACTGCCTATCAATTATTCATTTTTTATTCCAGAAACGATATTGCCATCATATTTATTTGGTTTCAGCCCTACAAATACTAACGCTTAGCTGTCCTCGGGTATAGTGACACGCGGCATCGCTCTAGAGAGAAAAATAATGTGAATGGGCGTATTTGTCACCAATATTCTGATTAATTTACTCTAACTGAACGAAATTACAAGCTTATAAAAAAGGCGACGAAGTTCGAGTCACAGTTAGTGAAATTTTATTTTATTTTCAATGGCTTGCCTTAAGAAACGCGGTTACCTCGTACGTAAAGTTCATTCATACATGCACGCTGTCATTTACATGAAACTGCAGCCGACAGGCACGGCGAAGCACATTTTACTCAAAGAACATGGCGAATTCGAATAGACCTTTCCGGAAATATGTGGTGCCCCCAGCGGCTGCTTTACGCATTGTGACGTTCAGATCGGACGAAGTCGACGTTGGTTTGAACAGTTGGTGGCTTCAGAACGCAGAGAAGGCTGAATGAAAGCAAAATAAAGTATGTAATGACCTTCTTTTGCGTTCGCTTAAATGTATTGGTGTGCTCCGAGTTCCCAACTATAAGAAAGAATGAATCGTGTCGCTACCTGCAGGATATACGAAGCGTTCGAACCGGCGCCCGAGCGTACATCCGAACAGCACCACAATTCCCCTCGTTGCAAGGTCTCCTGGGATTTTCCGGAAAAGTATATTAATTCTGCTGCTATCTGCCGCTACCTTTCTTCTCTATCTGCGCCGAATAGAATGTAGCTATTTTAAGAAGGACGTTGCGCAATTTGTATATAAAAAGTCTCGCAAATTGTTGCTGCTTCGTTCATTCTACCAAAGGCGATGAAATGCGGTTGCTTTACAGGAACATCGTTAGTAAAAATAAAATTAGGAAAGGAAATGTACGGTGATGACATGGTTGTAACATGCCGTACACACATCGAGGACGACGTCAAGGACGACCTCTAGGAAGACGTATAGGAGGACGTCAAGAGCGATGTCTAGGACGAGATAAGAAACGACGTCTAGGACGACGCCGAGGAGGACGTAAAGGACGGTGTCAAGTACAGCGTCTAAAACGACGTCGATTACGACCACTAGGGTAGCCTCTTCGACGACGTCTAGGACCTCATGGAGGACAACGTCATGAGCGGTCTCACGGACGACGCTGAGGATAACGTCTTAGAGAAAGACGTCAAGAACGACGTCTAGGACGATTTCTATAACGAACTCGAGGACGACGTCGAAGACGACCTATAGGAGGACGACCTCAAAAGCGATGTCTAGGTCTACGTCGAGGACAACGTCAAGGACGATCTTTAGGACGACCTCATGGGCGACGTCTCAGAGGACGAAGTCAAGAACGACGTCGGCGTTGACATTCTTGAGGACGACCTCTAGGACGACGTCGAGGACGACGTCAAGGACGCCAGGTCACGTCAGCTTGAGCTACCGGCGCTTCAGAGCTTACACGACCGGCGCCTACGTAAACGGAGCTTACATAGCAGGCGCTTACGCGACCGGCGCTTACAAGCTTACGCAACCGGAGCCCACGCGAGCGGAGCTAATGGGCGATTCACACACTTGCGTCGCGTCCAATTAAGTGCGAGGGTTGCTATGGCAACAGCTGCATCGGCTGCTCCAACAAAACCAATTTTTACCCGTTTTATTGGATCCGACGCAGCTGTTGCCATAGCAACCCTGGCACTTAGTCGGACTGAACGCAAGCGTGTGAATCGCATTTTACGCTTCGGCTGCGGTCTTTAGCCACGGGCATTACGTCACCCTGATTAGGTGACCTTGAGCGTGGTTGGGTTTATAAAGCTACCGCTTTAAAACAGGCTCGGCTGTAACCACCAGTGGATAATATAACCTGTCAGAAGCGTTATCTGGCAACCATTGAGACCGTGAAATGACGTGTGGTTTTATATGTATTCCGATCTACTATTGGCGACGTGCGCGATCAAAAGCGTCACTGTGGTCGGCCTTCCACGATTGGCTGAATGCTGACTATGACGTCAGCAAAGGTTTCTTCATCGACAGAAATAAGAGTAATGCAAGAACTTCAATTTTGACGGTGTTGACAGTGTTGGTTTCAGAACGCAATGATCTCAGGCTTCCACCATGCTGATTATAAACACAGTCGAACTTGTCGTTCGTAAGGTAATGACGTCAAGAGAGGAAACCACAGGAGGGCGCCACCAAAACATCTCGCCGCTAATACTCTACCTCACAAGTTGTTTTCAATGGGATCAGTGACCGAGTGGGCTAGAGTACACTTTAGTGCGCACCAGCTTGGAGCACGTGGAGCGAATGCTCGCGCTGCAGAACCCAGGGGTCCTGGGTTCAATCCCCCACGCCTGCCCGTTTCAATCTGGATGAGCACCGTTCCGGGTGTGCGGTCGTGTACCACTACTGCGTGGTGCACGTTAAAGACACCGTTACTTGAAAAAGCTGTTGTTCTGTATAAACACAGGGACCAAAAAGCTCGAGAGAATGTTGAAACTCATAGAATAAAGAAGGAGGGGTCAGGCTGCGTGAGTCAGGCTTCCTTGAATTTGCTGGACAATGAGGCCGAATTTTTAGATCGGGGATGACGCATATAACATTGTGTAACTGATAGCACCCAATTTTGTGAGGCGCATGCGCATTTCCATCGTGATGAGACAGTCGTGTTGTCGTATGTTTTTCTTCGTGGTTTCCTGCGAATAAACCTTTCAGTTGTTAGTCAGCGCTCGTCCTGTCCAGTTCCTTCCTCTGTCCTTGCAAAAATTCGCGCTGTTCCATTATGAATCCATACCTACTCGCCCAGTTATCCTGTTTACGTTAAAGACCCCAGGCTAGCGGTTGTACTGCACTGGCTAACTTGCTCATCTATAGCATAGAGACAAGTCGACCTGAGGGACGACGTATATGACGACATCAAGAACGACGTCTAGGATGACCTCTAGGACGACCTCAAAAACGACGTCTAGGACGACGCCGAGGACGACGTAAAGGACGGTGTCAAGTACGGGGATTGAGACTTGTTGTGTCCGTTTTTTTTTATCGTTCCGTGTCTCCGGTTACTGTGGACGACGAATTGCCCGTTGAGGCAGGCTAAGTTCAGGCTGTATGAACATACACAAAACCCAAAAATTTGTTTTTAGTGCTGGCAGACTTGGGCGCGAGAGAGGGCTCTGAAAAATGCTTTGTTTTCATGATATTCATCCATTAAAAGCAGCTTTGAATACCACGCGCTGGTACTATACTCCATTTCATGAGTTGCGTGCAGTAAAGGCAAAAAAAAAGCATAGGCGCGGGCGCTTGCCTTTCAGATTTGCCTCCCTTCACGAGCACTCGCGGAAGGAAAGCAAATCTAAAAGCCATGTGCCCGCGCCTATGCCTTTGCCTTTGCTGCACACAACTCCTGAGACAGAGTATAGTGTCTTTGTTAGTGCTGAAGTTAACTCGCGCGATCTGTGGTACAGTAAATAATTCTTATGTGAATGTTTAGGCAACCGGAAGTTAGTCAGTCCCAATGGGCGTCTGGTGTCTCAGCTGTATAGATAAAAAATTTAGTCAGTGCAGTACAAGCACTAGCCTGGGCTCGCAAACGTGCATCACCGAGTAGTGAAAGACGACCACACGCCGGTACGATGCTCATCCAGATCAGAACGGGCAGGGGCGAGATTGAACCCAGTATCCCTGGGTTCCGCAGCGCGCTTTCACTCCACGTGCTCCGAGCTACGGTGCGCTAACACACTCGGCCACCAATATCCCGCTATGCGTTACAGTGCAGCATTTTCAGCTCTGAGACCTACGATACGAGCACTCATTGGCTTAAATCGCGAGTTCGTGCGTCGAAGTGCCACGCCAAACCACGACGCGGAGCTCGTGTTTAATCAATCGATTGAAAATGCGGCCTGTTTGCCCACCAGGCGTACTGACTAACCGCTCATTCACACTGAAAGCGGATCCGCGTTCGCAACCGCTTTGCGAACGCGGATCCGCTTCCAGTGTGAATGAGCGGTAAGAGCTGACTGCTGCACCGATGTTGCTGAACACCTGCTGTCGGCGAGCCTTCACAAACTCATGCGCGGAACGTGCATGAGTTTTAAATTAAATATCGTGTTCCTGGCAGCCGGTTAGCAAGAGATTATCTTGATTATCCGTCGTGACGAGGAACTATGATGGCCTATAGCCTCCAATGAATACTCCACCCGCAGGAGGATGGCACGTGCCAAAATTTCCAGCTCGCGGCGCAGGACCGCTGCTTTCTGTCAGCTGCGCTAAATTGTTTTCACACGGGGCTCCCTTCGAAAGTCTGCTCCTCGCGTGCCGCTCACATGTTCAGGATGCCGATGTTCTTGTAGTACTTGGGGCGACTGCTGCGGTACTTCTTGAAGGCCGTGGCCCCCATGCGGAAGGGCGTCTTGCCCTCGTGCTGGTACAGCGCGTGGAAGTCGTCGGCGCTGAACAAGTGCACCAGCGAGTAGCGGCCAGGCAGCTTCTCAGCCACGATAGGGCCGTACTGGCGGTGCATGTCCAGCGCCGCCTCGTGCCGCCGGTCCGGGTGGTACTTGCCTGGGGACGAGCCAAGGGGCAGCCGCGTCTCTCAGCGACGTGCGAGACCAAAAGCGTCTCTGCGGTCGAAGTTCGCGATTGGCCAAACCATAATTTCCTGTGTACTGATAATGCCTGCCCAATCGCCGCTTCGCGGAGAGACGAATTGGACCAATCAGAGCGATTCAGGGGCAAATCTTGCCAATCACGGAGAGGCAAATCCTGGTCGTGACGCTGCGAACGGAAGCCATAAGAGGGCGCCACCGTAACGACTCGTTACAAGCTGCGTTTTACGTATTATTCGCTACTTTTCTGGTAACAAAAACTCAGACTTGTACGTAGTTCAACTACTTTACTCAAGTTGCTGTAGTTTAACTACTTTTCTGAGTAGTTTAGTAACTTTCAATTACATTTTTATTTCTGGAATTAGTAGTTTACTTTAATCGCTTTTTCCGAGTAACTTCTACTCAAATTACAAATTACTTTCGAATTTCAGTGGTTGTTTTTCCTAGCAACAAACTTTCCTGCACAAAAAGAGATAAGATTTTGGAAGATCAGCTGATATTTGCAAAGAGGGGGAAGCATGTGGCGTAGGAGGGGGGGGGGGGGGAAGAAAGTGGTTTGGAGAGTCCGAAACCCCCCAAAATTTTCACGAGCCCCCCTCCCCCCCCATTGCAACAACACTACTACGAGGAGCGGGAAGCAAACAGACACGACGCAACTGTGGGATTAGCGCCGAAGACTGGCGTTTCTTTGTGTTCCAAAGCTCAAGGAGACTTGAGTCACTTGACCCACTTAAAGAAAGGACTGGTCCCCACTTCTTTCCAACGTAGGAACTCTCGCCCATTACAGGAGGTGTACACAATGCATCCTCACTCAAAGGAGGCAACAAAATCTCAAGCTTATCTAGTGCTCCAGTAGTTTGTGCTGTACTCGAAGAATCGCGTGCTAAAGGGTAACGCAAAGGCGACCTTGTTGCGTTGCCTTTCCTCCGAAAACTCAGAATATGTAGATCTTCAAAGATTCGAAGATCGTTCAAGAAACCTGAGTAATTCTCCCAACGTTTCTATATAAAAAAAATAATAAACAAGCAGTGCTGGGAAGTAGTTTAAGTACATAAAACTTAAAGAACTACTGTTTAGAAAACTTGTACTTTACTTGAAGTACATTCTCTAAGTATATACGTGTACTTTACTGAAGTATTTTGTTCTGGTACTTTCCGATGTAAATAAAACTCCAGACTTCAATCTAGATTCCTCAAATTTGAAAAAAAAAAGGCCTATTGTCGTGTGAGAACGCGCTCTTTCGAGACATCATCTGGTTCTTTCTCTGAGTGAAGTAATGGCGACTTTAAGACAGACACAAATAAGTACCTTATAAGTTTATTGTGTCAAATAGCTCGTCAGCGAGAGTAAAACAACTACTCTGTGGCGACTTGACTTTACACAATTATTTGCTGGCATTTCAGTAAAAAACGGATGCACCCCCGATTACCCCTGGAGCAATGCATACCAGTTTAAAAAAAACACTGTATGGGGAATGAGAGGGCATGCATTATGAAAGATTGTGTTAGAAGTACTTGTACTTTACCTTGAAATATTTTGTATTTATAGTACGTTAGTTCAAGTACATTGCACCCGGTGTACTTGCTACTTAACTTGAAGTACAAAGTGTCACAAAACAAATTTACACGTTTTTGTTTTGTTTTATTGCAAAAATAAACTAGGTATCGCCCAACGCTCATTCTCCGCTCAAAAGTTGCGTTAGAGGTCACAACCAGATCCCAAAGTTTCAGCTCGATCCGATACTTTATTTAAAAGTTATGCGTGTTTTTCTGAAAATTACAATTGGAAAATTGCGGCCGACGGAATTTTCGAATACATGGGGCTTTATGGCACCAGAAACTGAAAACAGGCAAAAATGGGCTCCACTTTTCCATTGAAATTTTCATAAAATCACATATAACTTTTGAATAAGGTATGGGATCGGGCTGAAACTTTGGCATCTGGTTGTGACCTCTAGCGCTACCTTTAGGCGGAGAATGAGCTTTCGGCGACGCCTAGTTTATTTTTACGGTAAAAAAACCCTGTAAATTTTTTTGGGAGACACTTTGTACATAACGTCTAATTTTTTTTGTACTTTACTTCAGGTATATTTAGATGTGCTTTACGTAACACTGTAAACAAGCAAACACTGTCTAAAAAATCAAGCTCAGGCAGCGCTAAACCTCAAAGTAGAAATGATACATTCGCAGTACATCATTGCGAAACAATTAGGCACGCAGAAGCAGAACCAGCTATTAAAGAATATCTCTGAAAAAATAGGCACATTCATATTTAGCTAGCACAATTTCGCCAACGGATCAAAACTTACGTACTTTATTGTTACATGGTAACAAGAAACATATAAACATATGGTAACAAAAAAAATATAAAAGTAACTTCAAAAGTAACTCGCAACTTTTTGCGGTAATTAGTAATTTCATCAATTACTTTCCACTTAAGTAATTTATACCCTACTCAAACCACTTTTGAAGTCAATATTCAGTAAATTAACTTAACGACTTCTTTTTAGGAACTTGTGTACGTCTGCAAAACCTTAATTACTCTTTTACAACAGGAACTATAAACTGGTTTTCACCTCAAGACGCCGCACGAAATAGTTCTTACAAGATTTGTTTGTCGGAGCAAGAAGCGAGGCTTTTGGCGTTTGAAGTGTGTACGTCCTGATAAGATAACGTACATCTATTCTAAAATGCACCTACACGTATCTTAACACTCCACATGAAGGACGAAATTTGTTGTGCTCCGCGAGGAGCCCGACTTTTTTTTTACTACGGTTTTTGAAGTGTAAACGAGTATAGTGAAATATTTCCGGTATTTTTGTTTAACAGGAACAATGCCTGCATTTATAGGGATGCGACCGCAGCACATCTTATCAAGTCCAATCACACGCGCCTAGTTTATTTGTTTTCTTATCTTCTGTACCCCGTCACAATTGTCAAGTCTCGATTCTATACGCTCCAGTTGCCTCTATGTAGTGTGCATGCTGATTTTTACTTACTCTTGTACTTAATGAGGATGTAAAGGCATCTATTTACCTTCGTGCTTTGAGCATGCACAATCCCAACCTCGTCAGCTGTATTTGCATTTTTTTATTTATTTATAATACCACTAACCCCATTCGATGTTGTTGTAGGGTAGGTTACGACCCAGTAGCGGAAGTAGTTGCTTAACGATCCCGTAGCGCTTCACTGATAAAACATGGCAAGGCAGACAAAACCGTTCGATGTGTCTTCATTGTCTCGTTATCCACCAGGATCAAGCTCTTGTAGCTCATCTAATACCAAGGGTGAATAATAAGTAGTCAGGCTGTCGTCAAAAACGACCCAAGGCTGCTGCCTCGATCGCGCTTCTGCTTATCTTATCGCGAGGTTAACAATGCTCGCCTGAGCAACCGCGTCGACTGAGTACTTCTCTGCCCACGAAACTTACATCGTGCGTGCTATCTGTTGTCACCTGAACAAGGTGTCCTTGAATGTTAACTATTTTTGACACAGAAAAACAAAGACGTTGGAAAAAATAATGCGACGTACGTCACGAAAATTACTTTCGGCGAGACCAGAAGGTGTTTGAACACATTGGTGAGCGGAAGATGTACTTTCGGCGAAGGTAGCTGCAACTGTTGCCGCTTGAGACACGACTACATTAATATGATGTGGATGTAGCCGCGTCCAAGACCATGGCAATCGTAAGTAAAATAAAAATATTATGTTCATAGTTACCACTGCGATTTAATTAATTGCTTAGGTAAACCAAAGAATGACAATTAGCAAGCGTAAATAAAAGCAGATACTTTTTGCGCGATCGTACCAAGCTTTGTTGTAATATTATTTTAAGAGGCTTATATTTTGTTATAAGTGCTTATATTTTGAATTCTTGAGTTTTTAATAATGTGACAACTCACTCGACAATAAAAATAAGATATTTATGGCATTTTAACAGCTCTCTACTTACCCTACCATAAATATTTACAAAAAACTTATGGTATTCACTGTTTCCTGATGCTACCTTAAAAGTCTCACGTTAATTTGAGCCAAATTCAGTCTTGAAAAGTACGCAATTTAAAGAAAGGCGATTAAAATAGTAGCTTACAATAATAACCTTATTTACTGTGTGAAAATATAATGGAGGGCTGAGAAAAAAAGCTGTCCAAGCAGCCTGACTGCCCCCCCCCCCCCCCCCCCCCCCCTTTCCCTTACAGGCACTTGGTGCGTGCTACTTTATTTTGTATTTATTTTTTGTAATTTTTGCGCTAATTACTTGTCGTGCAGTTTTTTTTCATCTACAAGTAGAAAAACGCAGTTAGAAGTATTGCTTGAAAACTGACATTATCAGTTTTTAACAGAACCCATAGTTTTCAATATACTACATTGCTGTGGAAAGTTTATTAGTAATGGCTGCATGGATCTCGGGTTTTTTGTGAAACAAATTTTAGGGCGTCATTTTTGTCATCTTGCAAACCCTGAGATGAGGAATGATAAAAAAAAAAACGACGAATGGTGCGTTTATCTCTGATTACTGTTACCGTGTCCTAGTCGCAAACAAAGAAATAAGGTGCCAAGACACAGGAAAAGTAAACAATGATTAGGAAGCGTTCGGCAGACAATTATTATTCCACAAAAGAAAACCGAGAACAACAAATCTAGAGAAGCGAGACTGCAAACAACTGATCCCCCCCTCATGGCATTTGCGCTTCGAATATAGACGCTTTGCAGCAGCTGTGCATGGACGCCGCCATAAGTGACCTTCAGTTTTTGTTTCCTCTTATTCCGTTTATTTCACTTCATCATTACCATGGCAGGCCAGGCTATTGCCACATTAGATTCAACTGTGTCCTTTTCTAAAGCATCGGCCTTTGTAGAGGATCGTCAACTACCGTTTCAGTTGCTCGGCATCTCGGTAAGACAAGAGAAGGTCAGCAACGGCGGCTGTAATTTGGCGCGTGTGTAAAGCGTCTATAAGTTTCTGCCGCTTGCGCAACTATACCGCTATCCATCATTTCAGGTTAAGTCAAGCCACAGCCGATGGTATACAAGCGCGAGCTCCGGTTCTTCGGCGTCCCTGCCAAGCACGCGCGCTCGCGCATTGCAAGCACTGTTCAGGGGCACAGACTCGCGCTCGTAGAATTGGCTGCGTGTGAACTTAAGCTGCAACGAAGTGTAGTACACCCTAAAATCGATAAACATCCCTGCGCGAGCCCAAGGCTCCGTCGCTTTTACGTAGAGCTTCCTCGAGCAGGACTGCCCCAAAATCCAATAAATATAATATATCAAGTTTGTGTCATGTCCTTGGTAAGTAAAACTGACGCCGTCCGCGTTAACCCTACCATGGTGTTTTGTCTCATTTGATACATAAGAGCAACACGCAACGTTAATTGCTCTTCATAATGTGGTGGCGTCGCTCGCAACGCGATCGGCAATAGACGATGTCGACAAAAAACAAGGTCCGTACCATAGTACGACAAAACACGTGGTCCATACAAACAGTTGCGTTTGAATGCGTTTGACTGCGTCATCGACAAACGGCCGCGAGCAACCGGGTCATCCGTGCTTCACGAGAAGTGGGGCAACCAACGTTACAAAAACACTCAGTTGGGAAACTCCCATAGAGACAGCTTTGAAAATGTGGCCCCAAAATGTCTCCGAGCACCGAGCTAATGACGAACACAACGCCACCATTTCTCCCGCAGCGGCCACTCAAGGAACTGCACGTGACTTCTACTTTGGCTTTAGGAACAGATACAGCGGAAGAGGTTACGGGGGTGCCACCCCCGTTTCCCCGGCGGACGCGCCGCGTCGAACGACCGAAGTTAAAATGCACCTAGGTCAGGACGCGCTACCTGAAAAGACCGCTGCAAACTAAAGATTTTAAAAACATAACGCGCCCCTCTTTTTGTACCAAACTCCAATAAATTTCATACAAAAAGTGTCTTTTCCGTTTGTTTTTACGCAAAAACAGGCTTTCAAAAAGCTCAAGGTGACCACAGTGCAGACAAACGATAAAGAGTGGCGCTGTTGTCGCATTTAGCTCGGTCTCGGTGGACGCCAGCGGCCCAGGTTTCGACGGCGAGTTTCCCAACTGAGTGTTTTAGTAACGTTGGTGGCAACCGATCCCACCGCCAGTTTGACTACGCCATGCACCACGGCCGCGATGCATGGAGGGAAGTCTTTCTGCGCGTGCGACAACCTCGCTGGAGCTCTGCGCATGTAGGGCACGAGACGGCCCGAGCCCTCTCGTTCACTGCCGTTCTCCTGCAACGTTGGCCTCTCGTGAACTTTAGTTAAGGCGGCATTCCGCATGCGCCGAACATTTAGTGGTATCGGTCTATTAAAGCAGTGCATGGCAAGCAGCATTCGAAGCGCGAATGCCCTGGCTACACGCAGTCGCAACGCGGTACAACGTTCTCCAACCACACAAAGCGCCGGTCAGCTCACCTCGCCAGCTACGCTCATGAACAGTAAATTTTAGCGAAACCCACGGTTCATTTCTGACGTCCCCTCCGTCTTAAGAGAGGTTGCACGGCGGGACAGCAGAATGTCAGTTTAGTTCTTTTTTTTTTTAAATTTATTTTACACGAAATAACAAGTTTCATGGAACTGTAAAAATAGATCGAGCATATTGCCAGGTCCCTACAGAGTCAAAAAACACCCTTTTCTAAAAAAAAGAAAAAAATTAAAATCGTCTTCATGGTCGAACCAAAGTCCAACCAAAATAAATGAATGATCTCGATTCATGGAGACTAAATACGAGCCAAGATAGTACACTAATGAAAAATCGCGATCCACTCTAAAACCGATATTAAAAATACTCCACCAGTGTCTCAGCTGGCATTTAGCGAGTTGGCTGTTTGTCAAGCAACCTTGTGCACAGACATCATGTTCGTACTCGAGGAGGTAACTTGTTGGTACTGCCACTTCTTTCTCCGTGCTTTTTTGCTTAGTCTTCAGCCGTCTCAGCGGACCATTTCTGCCTGTTATGTTAAAGTATAACAGCCATAGTTTTTACATGTTCCTCGGTCATCGCGGAAAAGGAATATTGACTCCCTGCTCGCTCAAGCGTGTCGTGGTGCCGAAGTGCAAGGAGCCCAAGGGACTGGCATTGTTTTGCAATGCCGAGCACGTCTTGCTGTGCTGTGGGTTGCGCAAACGACCCGCTGCACAACACGGACGTGAGTTTTGCACCAGCTCCCCCAAAAACTCAAAATTGAGGAAAGTGTGGGGTCGACGCCGTTCGTCGAAAAGATTTCGGAAGGCCGTGAACTCAGAACTCTCCACTGGCCGCCATAGTTGAGTTCGTTCCTGCTCAGCGTGAGCTTACGGTAAGTTTCCACAACGCTTCTGCAACGTGCATTTCTCACCACTAATATTGTAATTCCTATCAGAAAATAAGTAGGGCCCGTTCTGAGAATGCTATACAAACATCGCGGTTAATTATTGCGCCCTGTAAATACCACCTCCGCGATTTTTTTTTTGGCCAACAATGTGTATAAACATTTGCTCCAAATGTTTGATAACTACAAAGAAAATCAGCATGGTACCTGATTGATCGGAACTGCTTTTGTGACCAGGCCAGTCGTACGTTTTGCGGTACCGCGGAAAGAACTTTGCGTCACACGATGGCTGGATGGATGGATGAATGCTAACTGCTGTACCCTTTGTAAAGGGCGGTGGCATGCGCCGTCTAGCCCATGAATTAAAAACCAAAAGTACGATTCCTCCCTTCTCCATTCTAAGTCAATTTGCTTCCTCTCTGCAATTTCTTAACAATCACCAGGCGGTGTGGGATATATCACCAGAATGGACTTTGGGGATTCGGGCAAAAAATTAAGAACATCACCCCCTGCCTCTTTCCCCCGGGGAGGGAGTCGCCCATTTTCTTCTGGTCAAACCTAGTCGGCATTACCCCAGCACAAGGTCCACTGGGATGCTGGGTTGAGACTTTGGGCTGGAGCCACAAGGGAGGGAGTCACAATTTTCTTCTGTCCCACCTGCCACCAGCTGTGTTAGTTGTACGTCATTCCAATCTCCCTAGATAATTTCCACCTGTCTTCCCATCTCCTCTTTGTTATTAAAATGCACTTATCATCGATTCTTCCATTATCGTCTGCAAACCCCAGTGCTCCGGCTAAATCCGTCGCCCCCTCCGGGAGGGCGGGATCAAGCCCTGTGCACATTAACAGCATATGTTTTATTGTATCGTCTTCCCCTTGGCATACGGCACACCGCGTATCCATTTTTTCATACTTTACCTTATTTGTCCCAGTACTCACTACTCGTGTTCTAGCCACAGTTAAGAACGAATTCCCCCGTGAATTATGATAACAATGTTCCTTATTTCCATATTTAGCCTCGTATGTATTGTTCAAGATGATTTTCCCTTAATTAATCGCTCCCACATTTTTCTCTCGACTTCTTTTTATTTTCTTCTCCACAGAGGAAGTCTGCTCCGCCCTGCAGCACTTGACTGTTGGTATTTAAATTCAAGTTTTCGGGTTCGGTTTGTTCATTTAGTGTTCTCACTTTTCATGTAAAAATGAACATTTCGATGTTCATAACAGATGCTTGAGACCAAGGTAACTGGCCAGAGGGACGGACCAACACTGACGTCGGGGTGTGGGCCTGTTCTTTTTGGGCTATTTTTCTTTCTTTGAATGTTGGTGCTCTCCAAGATATAACGAAGTGTGTTTCTCTTTCAGTTCCTACATATACATATGATAATAAAGCGAGCACTACACAAATGCCATGCCTTTACGCGAGCTCTTGAAACAAGAGGCGCCTGCCGTTGTTAATTTTTGTTTATGATTTAATTAAAATTTAAAAGTAATAAAAAAAAACTTTTTCGGGGGAAGGGGGGGGGGGGGGGAGGGAGTGAGTAATTGGAGGTCGTGTCGGCGTTTCAATAAACATCCCTTATTAATTGTATATTTATAGCGAATCGAGACACGTTGTTAGCACACTCCACACGCGCCCTTTGCAATCCAGCATCTCGATAATGCCACAGAAAGCAGCACGCAGGGCGTGTTGCTTATTGGGTCTTTTTCTACGCCCAGCGAACATGAGCCAGGTTCTCATCGCGCTCAATGGCGTGCATTCTGTGTCCGCATTCGCAGGGTTAAACGCTCCGAAACTACTGTCGTAAAAATTGCGTAAGGAAAGTTCCATCGAGAGCGACCACTAGGAAAATCTGTCCTCCCGGGTTTCACGCTTCCCCCCTTTATTTCTATAGTTTGTTTCAGAATAACTCGGAGCGCAGCCAAAGGATAGAAGACACCAGACGCACTAACAAAAAAAGCGCAAGGTCGACGGCGCCCTCGTGCACTGCGCTCGGTTCTAGTTCCAGCCGGGGATATCAGACGACAAACGCCGTGACGCTTTTGGCGCTGCTCGATGGGCCTCGTTGGTAAACCGCAGTAATTCTACAAAAGACTGCCTGAGGTCAGATTGGTCGCACTGTCTGCAGACCGTTTGTGTGATGTACGGAAAGTGCGACTCCGGCTATACGGCAAAAGAAAGTAAAGTCACAGAGCACTGCACCGAGATCACGCTCACCGACGAGGGGCCAGTAGATCCAGGAGCTGCCGACCAGCGGGAACGACGGCACGCGGGGCATCTGGCCGAAGGGCTTGGCCGCGACCCGCGACTCGCCGTGGGTGGCATCAGCCGCCGGAGCAGCCGCGGGCCCCAGGTGGGCCGCCCGCCGAGAACCCTGGAGCAGAACTCGGGCCGCCTTCATCGCGGCCGCCTCGGTCACGAGGGCGCGGTTGGCGCTGGGGGAAGAACACAAACAAACCGAGTGGAGCGATCCTTCACCGCGTGCACCGGGCTGAGGAGGTCTCTCGCACTGAGCGTGGGGAGAGTGGAGGCTTCCGAACGTGCAAAAGGGACTCCGGAAGGACGAAATCAGACATTGACCGGGCCCCGCGATAAGGCTCTTATTTTCGAGCTCCCTACTCACCGCCATCTTATCGGTAAGGTTGTTGAGCGCAATCGCACCGAAAATTTGCTTGTATCTCCACCATTGTGCAGCGGGCTGCCGCCGCTGCTCGCCGCAAGGCCGATTTTAGATAGGGAAGCGGATGATAGCGTTGGTCGGGTCACCGCGGCTCTCTCAGCCAAGTTCCGGCGGAGCATACGGCGGCATACACGCACGTTGCTCTCGACCAGGGGGCACGAACGCGTCCGTAAGACGCGACCACATAATCCTTCCATCGGGCATAAAGACGGGGGCACACTGCCCATACATCCTACAAAAGACATCCTGCAAACACCAGTCACCGCAATATCCGTGGTTCGAACGCCGCGTGCCAAGATTTCTCGTTGAACTCGTTAACATTCGGCATTCGAAGCACAAATCTCGTGGTGGCTCGCGTTCATATGTGCCGTGAACAAGGAGCGCCGGCCCTCCGACGCCCAATTGGCCAAGTTGCTGTCGCTAACCTCGATGGCGCACGTTGTCGTCTGCCTGGTCTTTTCGCCGAGCTAATTTGCGGCCGACACGGTGCAAGCGTACGAGTCCCTCGAGGCGTATACAACTACTTTGACTCTGGTTAGAACTGGCGGAGTGCTGCGCGTACCAATAGATTGGAAGTCGTTCGTGTCGAAACTTTAACTGCACTTGTTTTACGCCACAAGCTGGGTACAAGACTGCAAGCTCTGGACGCTTGTCCAATCAGGAATCGCGAGGCGGCACGACTCCCGCAAAAATCATAAAAGTTGAAACATCCGGCAGTCCGATGTCGGTGTGAACACCACCGCGAGTCAAAATCACGATTTTCCTCCTCGCTTCCTACGTTTTTCGATGACCTGAGTGCTCGTCAGACTTGACGTCACGTGCCACCTGCCAATTCTGTCCATCTGTGCTGTCGGTAGGTCGTAGTAAAAGTAACTTACATACTACTGTAAACACATTTTCAAAAGAGGCTTTTAGTATCTTATCTTAATTAAATACTTTTGTTGAGTATTTGAGCCAAGGTGATGCCGTCGCAGCTGGAAGCCCCTGCTCCTAACGATGCCTGGGTAGACACTCTCAGAAAAAAAGGGTGTATACTTACACCCTTTTTCCCAAATAAGACACCCCAAAACTTCAGTTCGGCGTACAGCTCACTGCCGTTGAATCGACGGTACCAGCTTCCACGAGAGTCTTGATACAACTTATTAAAATACTGTGATACAAACTTGTTAAAATAGTTTATGTACAGTGCTAATCACACTTGTCTATAACGCGCGAGCGTGCGGCCTTCTCCAGGGAGCGCTGGACTGGTAGCATTCGCGGAAACTAAGCTAGTCACGTGGCGCAACATAGAACGGCCCGCTCGAGGGGTGTCCTGCCCACTCTATCAGCTGGCGGCGAACGCGGGAGGCTGCTCATACGCTGTTTACAAACATCAATGCTCGAACAATAAACAAACTAAAGCATGAAGGCGTATCAACGATGTCGTCATCAAAAAACAAAAATATATCATAAAACACTTTACTTTTATGGCTTATCAAGCTGATAGAGTGGGCAGGACACCCCTCGAGCGGGCCGTTCCATGTTGCGCCGCGTGACTAGCTCAGTTTCCGCGAATGCCACCAGTCTAGCGCTCCCCGGAGAAGGCCGCACGCTCGCGCGTTATAGACAAGTGTGATTAGCACTGTCCATGTTACTGACTACAAAAAAAAAAAAAAAAAAAAATCGGTGTTTTTTTGACCCTATACTGCAAAACCTGTGTTTTCTTTCAGTAATCTGTGATACGTAGTTTAGCTATCTAATAAGTTATATCGAACCCTTATCAATCCACACGTAAAATTTGGGGCCGTCTGTTCGACTATAGTGCGCTATACGTCGAACTGAAGTTTTCAGGTGCATTACATGGGACAAAGAGTGTAACAATACACCCTTTTTTTTTAGAGTGTAGCGAGCAACCGAGGAAATCTTGGGCGGCAACTTGTGCGCAAACACCGTAGGAACGTAATCCAGGTGGTCTGGATATGATGACGTCCCTAAACATAGGTGTGTCTCAATGCTGGGAACAAAAGTGGGAGCTACGCACTTACCTTCAATGAAGGCTTACCCCACATGCAATCGTCCGTGCAAGGCGAACTTTTTTTTTTAATCAATGCAGGTTATCTATTTCGTGCGTCTGTCAGCGTCCGCCTGGAACTTCTGGAAGCCTATTCCACCACTTTCGCAGTACGTTTCGGCACAACCAAAAGCCACGCAGCTTTGCGGCAGACCGAAACGCCGCGTCGCACGTGCACGTAGTCTTGCCCAACGTTGATCGCAGCACCGCCGCAGCTCCGTGACGTCAACCGCGCGCGTCGGTGTTTAGATCGACTTTATTGAGGGTTACAAGCCTATCAGTGCGAATCTCGCGTTAAAGGGGTTATGACACGAAAATTAAACAGAGAGATTATTCTTAAAATGGAATGCTCCTAAGCTACTTAGTATACACACAAAGGTACGTGTTTTTTAGAGCTCTGGTAATTGCAATATTAAATTTACGAATTTTTATCATTTTCATCTTGCGACTAGGCAACACTGCCCAAGTTAGTCACACCATGGTGTCCATAAACCACGTGACCATGGACGCTCTCTCATTCTAGGCGCCCCCGTGATCGCCTAAGCTCTCCTCGCCGCGGTACGATCAAAACCGCTGACGCAACTCGCTAACCCGATAGCTATTCTCGCTCTCGCCCCCGGTCCGTTGACCTTCCACCCTGCATGCGCCTGCGAGATATTCCCGGACGACGGTGACCATGGCGAGTTCGTCCGTAACTCGTCGTCGCTGGTGCTGGTCGCCAACGGGTCGCAGTAAAAATGAACAGCTTCCAACATCTATTAATAGCAATCACTCTCATCGCTGCTGCGATCAGTGTCGAATACTTTGACAAGGCGAGCGATGCCGTAGACGTAATCGTCATGGACCGCATGCTCGAAACGTGCAACTTAAATGAGGAAGCTGAGGCTTGAGACGCCAACAGAGCCAAGTCTGTGAGTGCGTGCAAGGAGATACCGTGCTGGAGGCTGGCTACGTAGCCAGTCTCCAGCTCCACCCGGATCCTCCCCTCCGAGGGACCCTCATTTAAAACGATTTATCCACGAAACTATCGCGCCATTTTCAAGACATATTTAGCAGGATTATAGGAACATACAATGAGTCCTAGCAGGATAGTTATATCCTATTTTATTTTTGGCGCGTCATAACCCCTTTAAGGGTTATTTAAGCTGAAAACAACGAATGCCGTGCATGAAGAAAAAATAGGGAAAAGATAAAGAAAACGCGCGCGCTTCATGAAAAGCATGGAAGCTTCGGCGCGCTCCGCTTCCGTTTTCAGCACGATCATAAACCACGCAAACAGCGAGGCATGCGCCTTCTCGCCTACCCTTTCTTGTTGTAGGGAGGTTTGGGACTGACCACGACAGCGGACCCCATGGCGACAACGTTCCAGCAGGGCGTTTGAGTGGCTGTCCTGACTCACGTGATGAGCACGCTTCATTCCTCTGTCCAAGAACACATGTGAAGGCTAATCCCCCCCCCCCCTCCGGGAAAAAGAAAAGTTTCTATGAGGTAATAGCGAATTTTGGAATAGCATACGCAAAGAAAGAAGATCGTCGTCATGCGTCAATCAAAACTGCAGTTTTGGCTCGAAGCATGTTTAGTGGAGGGTGACCGCGCTCTTTCTTTGCGTACGATATTCTAAAACTCGCTCATAACACGTATTACGCCGTCAGTGTTGGGTAAAGTACATCTAAAAGGTACTTCAAGTAAAGTACAAAGTAAATGAGACGTGATGTACTTTAAGTAAGGTATGAAGTAGACTGGATGCAACATACTTGAAGTGAAGTACTATAAATGCAATGTACTTTCAAAGTAAAGTACAAGTATTTTAACACAATCTTTGATGATGCCCTTTCATCCTCCTATACAGTGATTTTTTAACTGGTATCATTGGTATGCATTGCCCAGGGATACTAGGGTACATGAATTATTTTCAAAAACAACGGCGAATATTTCATAAAGTCAAGTGGCCACAGAGTAGTTATTTTCAGGAATGGAGCCAAATTCAGAAGTCCCTCTTCTGAATTTGGCGCTCTTTGCTCTGGATTGTTGCATCCAAGGGGTTTACATGTACTAGGAGAAAGTATGACGTCGGCCCCGTAGCTTCCGCAACAAATCCTCTCATAGAGGAGTGTCCTCTCCTTGTGCAAGAGAGTTGGTGATAATTAATCATAATGTGACGCCGGAGATTGGGGTGCGAAAATATTGAGGAACTTTCAAATAGAAGGAAAAGACGAAAGAGAATGTCTCAAAACATTGTGACGTTCTCCACTGTTTTTTTTTTTGCTTCGACTTGAAAAATTTGTTTTTCCGCACCACAGTCTCAGATGCTACATTATGATTAATTTTGCTCTCCTAATATTTTAAACCTTCTCGCTTGCGCTGACCGACCGAGAAGTTGCGAGAGTTTAAAGAGCTACGGGAAAGCCGCCCCCAGAACAAACGGAGCGGTGCGTCGTCTGCTCACGTTTCTGATGAGAGTAGAATATCCCTCCCAGGTATTTCTTCGGAGTTGACAAAGAAACATTTCGTGGTACAAATTTAACAAAACCACATTTGGGGAATGTACCCTGAAGTCGGGAATTGTACTTTCCATTGAAAGTACCAGAAACAAACAGTAACAGAAACAGTAAAGTACAAGTACAAACTCAGTGAATGTACTTCAAGTAAAGTACAAGTTTCGTAAACCTACTTGAAGTAGTACTTTAAGACTAAGTACAATGTACTTAAAGTACTTCCCAACACTGTACGCCGTTGTGAGCGTATTCCCTACCAAAAAGGTAAACACGCTAAGCTCTGCATTGGAAATGAACCAACGTGAAG